TTGCTCACTGGTCTAGGGCCAATTTCCCAGGAGATCGCTATAATATCATGACCAGTAACATTGCAGAGCAGTTGAACCATGCTCTGTCCGAAGGAAGAACATCACCAGTTATGGAGTTGGTGATTTTCATTCAAAGAATGATGACGAGGTGGTTCAATGCGAGGAGAAAGAAGGCTGAGAAACATAGAGGGATGGTGAGCATTGAGGTCGACAAGGAGATGACAAAGAATATGGCAACAATGAAGGGGAGTCAAGTTAATGCATCATCGAGTTGGTTCTGTGAAGTTGTTGGGAAGTTTGGTAAGAAGCACAGAGTTCATCTTGCTGATAAACAGTGTTGTTGCAAGTACTTTGACAAAATCAAGATACCGTGTGGACACGCAATGATGGCTGCTGATAGTATGGGGGTTCCTTACGAAACTTTGGTTGGTCACTGGTACAAGACTTCGACATGGAGAGAGACATATGCTGGCATGATTAATGCAGAAGGCGACCCTCGAGATGTGGACATACCGGAGGAAGTGAAGAAGCTGGTGTTGCTTCCCCCTTTGACAAGAAGTCTCCCAGGTCGGCGTCGAAAGACAAGAATCCCTTCCACCGGCGAGTTCCCGGTAAAATAATATTTCTCACATAGCATAAGCTTAAGCTAGTTGAGCTAATAATATTTAAGTGAGGTGATCTAATATTATTTTCTAATGTTTTAGGTGGCAAAGAAGAAGAAGCTGATCCCAAACAAGTGTGGGAGGTGTCGTCTGCCAGGTCACAACCGCACAAATTGCGCAAACCCAATATAGCCGAAGATGTATCTGAGTGAAGAAGGGCGCTTGACAGAAGAATTGCAGAGGAGGAGAAGTTTTTGTGATTGAAATGCTTCGATCATTGGCTATGTTCATTTTGAGACTTTAGATAATGAAAGTTTGTTTGTTTTTTATTTTGAGACTGTTGAAGGTTGCATATGGAGTCCTGATAATGCTTCAAAACCGGGGAGTTTAAGATTTGTGTTCTAAATGGTATGAAATTGCTTTTGAGACTTTTACTTGTTTGTTGTTTCTCGCTTGTGGATGGTAATTAGTTGTCCTAATATTGTGTGGACATCATATTAGGAAAGACAAAAATTGATCATATAGGTGTCTGTTTTAGGTTTGAGACTTAAAATTTCAAAACAAACATTACTTTTTCCACATTTCAATCGCTGTCCACAAGTAAAGATGATTGACATAACATATTAGAATTAGAATTGAGAGAACAAGATGAAGAGATATGGACTAACAAGCGAGAAAAGTTTAAGACAGTGTCATTGTTGGAGCTACATGATAGATATAGAAGGCAAATACTAGGGGAACAACAGAACATTTGGATTTCTAATTGGATGAGCTTCCAATAGAAGTAGGATAGAGATCCCATAACAACAACAGCTACGCCGAGCTTGTGGATGTGGCCATTGATGGGGAACTGTGAGTGAAGGTGAGACTTGATCTTAGCATCCATATGATCTTTCAACTGAATTGTTACTACATCCAGAGCTCGCGTCATCTGCAAGTTGTTATCACTAATCTGGTTCCTCAACTCTTGGTCCCTACAGGCGAGCCATGATCTCTGAGACTCAAGGTCGTCCGTTGTTTTTAGAGAGAGTGCTTGTAAATCGTGAAGGAGATCCAGACGCTTGGCATCAACCATCCGAACCTCATCGAGTATTGCCTCGTCAACCCATTTAAAAAGATGAACCTCTGATTTTCTCTGTTCAGGCGAAAGGTTAGAGATCGATGGCTGTGAGATCGAAATTGATGGGTGATTATTTTAAATATGGAGTTAAGAAAAAAATACCTGCAGAGCAATTTTGCATCTATAGAACCGGCGACCAGGATTTTCCTTTGTTTCTGAAACCCAGGTATCAAGGCCCTTTCCACACCAACATCTTTTTGGGACACCGAAGACGGTTCTGCGGGTTTCTGGAAGGGACGAGGAGGAGGAGGAGGAGCTCATGTTGTTAGACGAGAGCGTAGGTGAGGAGGAGTGGAGTTGAGGACGAACCCTAATCGGAATCCCAAATTAAATATCTTCAACGTGAATGAGAAGGGGCGGTTTATGTTGGTTTTATTGGTAAACCGAAGCGAAAGAAAAACCGGGGGTAATTTATCAGATTATAATATTTGTAGACAGTTGTGGTCGGGTAAGGTGTGGTCGGGTAAGGTGTGGTCGGGTAAGGAAATTGTATTGTGTGGTCGGGTGGGGATGTGGACGCCCATTTCATGAAATTATCATGACCAATTAGTTTTGTTTTTATTGGGGATTAATTTCCTAATTGTGTTAAGGAATTGGTATTTAACCGTAGTTGTAATTTGAGATGTGGAAAACCTAAACAGTTGAACTAGTTAGGTGACATTTAAACAAAGATTAAGACTATATGTTTGGTGCTAAACTGGCGGAAAATTATAGAATAATTTAAAACACAAAGATTAGGAATAAGAAGTAGACCTAATAGATAACGTGCTTACAACCCAAAAGATTAGCCTAAAGTTTAGTGGAGGTCTGATGAGACACACATAAGGTGAGTTATAGAAAGGGTAAGAGACAAATAAGCTAACATCTTAGTTCACAACCACATGTATCAAACACATAAGGTGGTCACTCATTGGAGGGATCGTAGTAAGTAGGCAACACCATTGTCTTGTAGATGTCAAGCGTGTACTGTTTGCGGAGGTCATTAACGGTCTGGTCTGTAAGCCCTGACATGTGCGGTTCTGGATCACCGTGAGCGTGCATCTCCAAAAACTTGATAGTGACTGGTCCACAGTCTCCTGATCTCTCGTTGATGTAGAGGTCTTGGCTACGAGACNGCCTATCAACAGTCTTGTCGGTGTACAAAGTCGGGAGGGGGTCTAAGATTTCGACACATCCCAGGTCGAGGTTGATGGCAAGGCCAACCCAGTGCTTCTCGTTCCATAGCATGGGTGTGTAGACAGTAATAACATCTTCCATCCACTTACAACCAGGCTTGAGTACAACCTCGGTGAGGGCGTCAGGCCAAATGAATGTGTCTCTCTTTCTTGATGCCATGAACTTTTTGGATATCCGCTGGAATCTAAATGTAAAGTCCGGAGAAGTGAATGAGAGGTTTTGTTCCTGGAGCATGAGGCTATGCCTTTCAGCTAGCATGTACATGAGAACCTCCATATGCTGGAAAATTAGAGAGATTCATAAACAAATTTAATCACTACAAAAGCATCCCATAATAAAGCACCTAAAATAGAGTCTAGAAACTGTACATAAAAGGATGTCCACTGCTGAGGCTCCGCTAGTTGCAAGAGCCATTTGTTGGAGAACCCGTGTTGAGAAGGTGTTATGTGGTTCATGTGGAGAGATGAGTTCGAATTAGTAATCGTGTTTTAGTAGGTGAACACATTTAAAGACTACTTACACATGCTTGATCTGTGCCACCACACGGCAAAAATGATCCCATTGTTTTTCAGGTAAGGGTGCAATTAGAGATTGAGGTGGGATATCTTTGCAGCTTCTTAGGTCTTTTGCTAGGAGGTTTTCAGAACGATCTGGGATGTGCTTAGGTTCTTCTCCGTCACTCACTTCTACAGCTTCGGTGACAACGCTTTGATGAGACTAGTGTGTTGTAAAGGACTGAGGTTAGCTAAAGGTAATTGAAGACAACACCAAGAATTACAACGAAGGGCATGAAATGAGTTATCTTACCTTTTGATTGCTGCGGAGTGACCGGGGAGTCGAAAGAGGAGCTTGGGGAGAAGCGGTAGCTGAAAATGCGTTGAGTACTGCAGCATGACTTATGAAACCTTGCAGACTATCAGAAGTCTTAGACGGAGAAGGCTGTGGTGTGAAAGGACCATCATACCAATAGGGAAGAGGATTTTGGGATGCTTGGTTAGCTGATGAGTCGTATCTTGGTTGAGAAAGAGAAGGGGGGTCAGGGCTTAAAGGTTGGAATATTCCAACGGCTCGGAAGAGAGGGCTTTGACCAGGGGGGCTGTTAGGGTGGTGAGAGGCATCGTAGATAGCTAAGGTTGTGTGGGGGACAGGTGATTTGGGTTCTGGAGTGTGGAAGGATTTGGTGTGGACAGGTGAAGTGTTTTCGGATGTGTGGATGGGTGAAGTACTTCCGGAGGTGTGGGTCGGTGGAGTGTTGTTGTGTGAAGTGTGGACAGGAGAATCGTTGATGGGTGGGTTCTGCTGTTCTGGAGTGGTGTGGAGAGGGGAACTAGTAATAGGAGTTAGGAGGGGTGAAGGGTGGTCAGGAGAATGAGAGAGGGGTTCTGGTTGGAGGTTTGTAGTGTTTGAAGCTGTGGTCTTCGTTGCTTTGGGTGAGACATAATGTTGTGCAGCATATTGGCTGACAACAGGGGAGCTCCTAAGAGTGGTATCTTCATCCATGGGCACTGGAAACTACAAAGGAATACATATTATGTAATAGTTAAAAGAAAATTGAAGTTAACATGGAGAAGAAACTTAAAAGTATATTGGTGAAACTTACAGTCCGTGTGGGAGATTGAGCAAAGGCCATGTCTGAAGGTTCAGTCTGACACCCGCGGTGTGATTGGTGTACTTTCTTGGTCCGAGCTAAGAGANTCCATGGGCACTGGAAACTACAAAGGAATACATATTATGTAATAGTTAAAAGAAAATTGAAGTTAACATGGAGAAGAAACTTAAAAGTATATTGGTGAAACTTACAGTCCGTGTGGGAGATTGAGCAAAGGCCATGTCTGAAGGTTCAGTCTGACACCCGCGGTGTGATTGGTGTACTTTCTTGGTCCGAGCTAAGAGAGAGTGGAAGGCAATGCGCTTACGGTAGGTAGGCGTCTTCGGTCGTTTGAGCAGTAGACGCAACAGTTTGGTCTCTTTTTGAAGGTTGGAAACCGTGTCAGATAATTCAGATAGCACTTCCATTAGTGTGTCATTTGAATTGCTGGATGAGGCGGCTGCTTGAAAGTAGGAGCTGATGCGTTTCTGCTTACGGGACGTGGAGGGTTTGTTCGATGTCTTCCTTGGTCTGAGTTCTTTCTTGGGATAAGCTGGAGTTTTGCTGGAGAGCTTCTTAGAAGTTGATTTTGACTTTGAAGTTCTCATCTTCACAACAGGTTCCTCCTCTGCATTTGCGGTGAGGACAGGACAAGAAGTGTCACCACCATGCCATAGATACTTGCCAAAGGGTTGATGGGTTGTTATCAAGTCCTCCATGTATGAGACTTTGTCATCGTTACACAAATCAGGCCAAACTCCCCATCCAGGATGTGGTTGACTTTGTACCGGTATGCACGATGTCACTGCAAGCTGAATTCAAACAGAATGCAAAATCAGGAAAAAACAGTTACTAAAGGAAAGAGAAACGATGATGGAGTAGAATGCAACTTACATTAGGTTCAGCTTCAACACGTAATATATCGAGGTAGCTAATGGATGGGTAAATAGGAAGATGATCTTCATCCAGATCCATAATGGTCCCTCCGTAAGATGGTAAAGGGATTGTGGACAGCAGTCTTGGAATGGCTTGGAAAGCCAGAAGTTGTAGTGACAGGGAAAATCCCTTTAGTCTGAATGTTTCCTGCTTTAGCTGGTCAACCAGTGTCCCAAGGGGATCAGGACACTTCTTAGAGTCGAACTTCGGAGGTTTCATGCAAGTTATAGTCTTTAGAAAAGACTCTCTACCCCAGGGGTGTGAGCAGAAGGCATGGATGTCTTGGACCACCATCTTAACGTACTTAAGCGTGGGGCGTGTGGTTTGTTGATGGGCAATGAGGACACCATCCACAATTATTATTAAAGCCATACAAAGTTTCTTCCAACCAGGCATGCGTGTGTCTTTCTCTAGCCTGTGGCGTAAATCAGCTATGGTTGGGAACTTCTTCTTTCCTAAGAGCTTGATCCAGTCGGGATCTTTGTGAGCTTGAGTCTGGTCTTCATGTACCGTCGTGTAGCCTACAGGGAAAGCTCCACACGGTAATCCTGTGATGGTGCCGAACTCCTTGAGACCGAACCTGATGGGATCACTTGCAAATACGGTCCATAGAGTGTGAGGGTCAGCAACAACAAGTTGTCTGGTGAGGCAGGCGTGTATCAATTTACACGATAAGGGGCATTGACATGCGGGAAGATCGAATAGCTTCCCAAAGCAAGAGTCTTTAATGAACTGGAACTCATCGGTGTCCCGTAGGACATGACGGATGAAAGAAAGATGGTCTGGCTTGGAGTAGATGTTAAGTCGTCCGTTGGGGAAGCGGTCGGTGGCGAAGAGCCTCGGTGGGAGGTTGAGGTCAGGTAGATCTAAAAGTAAAAGAGAAGGAGAGAAGCTAGTATTAAGTTCAGAAACAGAGATGCATGTTCAAAGTGAAGTTATGAATCGGAGACTATAGGGTTCGCCGTGTGATAGAGAAGTTATGAATCCAGATCTACTAACCTGCCATGTCTGGGAGTTTGTCGTGTGAGACTCTAGGGTTCGGAGAGTTCTGGAAGTTCGCCGTGCTTGTTCGTGGAGTTCGGGGAGTTCGTCTTGGAGGTGGCCGTGAGAGTTCGAGGAGCTCGAGAGTGTGAAGAAGACGGAATTGGAGAAAGTAGAAATTAGGGTTCTTTGTCTGTCGCGTATGAAGAACAGACAAGAGGAGGAAACTGATTTGGAAAAAGAGAACTAGATCTGGGTTTGGACTTTACAATAAAAGAGAACCAAAATAAGATTAAACCAATAGAAGTTGGTTTGGTTTGGGAAAAATTGTAACCAGAAGTTGGTTTGGGTTAATGGGAAAGGAGGACTTATGAGTCTTTACACTAGAAGAAAGGTTGTCACATGTAGAATGTGGCCTATGATGCAATATGAAAGACAAAATGTGCCTTAGAGAGTAAAAAATTCATTTATTAATATTGGTTTCTCAGGGCAATACTTGTTCGCCTGTACAAATCTGGCTATCTTCGGGGATGAACATAATAGTTTTCTCTTGATCAGTTACATATTGAACCCTTGTTGTTGTATGAGTTGTGCAGCTGAAGATTCAGACAACAGGCTTGGTTCTCAAGAGTCAAAACTCAAAAGTCTATCGTCGTCTTTCTTGGGACCATCTTGTGGCTATCTGTTTATCAGCCTGCAGATTGCAACTTCCTACTGTTTTAATTAAAAAAACTCTAGATTATTGGAATTCCTCCTGTTTCTCATGTTGATAAGCCATTTATCTTTAGACTTTGCTCCATAAGGGACTACAATAAGTGTGTATCTTTAAACATTGAACTTTTGATTATTTTCACGGAAATGTTATAAAAGAATGACATGGTATGGTCCCATTATTTCTTCCATGCATTACATGGGAGATGGCTTCACATTTTAATCACTTCATGTTATGGAAGATGGCTTCACATTTTACATGTCCTCACATTTTAATCAAATGCTTTAGTATTTAGGATGAATTTGATTGGTCTTTGCTCCTTATATTTGTGATTCAGAATATGTTTTTAACTCTATTGAATTTCTCTATATTTGTTCTTTATGATAGGACAAATGAATTCTTAATCTTGTTTCTTTCTCCAATCTAATATATGGATTACTGCAAGTAAGGTTTATCTGATCATTAGATATCGTTTATTGTGGGTCATCTTTAACTTTTTTTCTGCGGTTAGTCACATGGAAACTCATCTTGCACAATAACAACATGACGATGTCGGCATCATAGTGCCCCCACACATCCTTCCAAATAAAGCTCATCACATCATTGGATCCACCAACTCCTAGATAAATCCAATCCCTTCTCTCTTACTAATCTTTTGTGTGACCCCAAATCAATGAAATCTGATATTTGTAACGTCCACTAAAACAAAAGTTATGTGATGCATCTCATGGATTTGTGGACAGATTGTAAGATAAACGAAGCCATAAACAGTCTGGCGAATGATGATAATACATACAAGCACATGTGGAAACAGATGGGTATTAAGAGTAACACAACACTCTATAGCAATAGAATTAAATCACACATAAAATCATCAGCAAAAACAATAAAATTAATAGAGGGGAAAGATGAATGGTAAATGGTTGTTTTTGGCTCAAAAGAGCAGACCAGATGCTAAAGCAACAACAGATGCAAACAATGCTGGTACGAACATAGCAGCATCAGAAGTTGGGCTTGGAGCTGGAGCTTCCACTGTGGCAGCTGCCACTTGTCCTACGGCTGAGAAAGCCACAGCAACGATCATGGAAACAACCATCATCTTCTTCACTGCCTCCATTACTTCTCTTTGATGTAGGAAGAAGAGCAAATACAAAAAAATAGAAAAAGAAAGATTTTCTTTTGTGTGTATGTGTTATCTTGTGTTGTGATGATAATACTTGTGGGGATGGTATTGTCTATTTATACAACAATTGAAGGAGAGTTCACAGCTGGCAAATTGGCTGTCTCTTTGCCCAAACAACATTTTTCTCCTTTATTCATTTCCAACCTCACAACTATTTTTTTTTCTTTTTAAAAAATTGTTTGAAAATAATTAATGTGTTGTGAACGTTCACATGACTAGTTCAAAAAAAGTTCCGTCAATTATTTTCAATTCAAATTACTTTTGCTTAAAAAACTAAACAAATTTAAAGGTCTAAGATTAGCTATTAACCTATTACTACTTACTGATTTTTAAAAACTTAATTCTAACTAAAACATTAGATTTTTCTCTTGTTAAACAAATGAATTATTAAAAAAAATAACTTATAGTAACATATTTGCTGCATAATTAATCTTCATTGAAACTATTTGTTTCCTTCAAGAATCACTTATATATTTAATTTCATTAAAGGGTCAAACTAGCCGTTTTAGTGTTTCCTAGATAGGTTTCGAACCAACGTTCACCCAAGCTATGAAAATGACCAACTACCCTCGTTACAAAAAGGATTAATTAATTTTAAGAGAACTGTCTAATTTTATGTTTTCATTTGATTTTTTTGCCTCAAACTAAAAACTAGCTGGAATATATTAAGAGAATCAAACATACAATTCTAATCATATGCCTAAGGCTGGACTGTTTCTGTGGACCCGGAAACTACATAACAAACGAAGTCTTAGTACCTAACCACTTTTCAACCAATAGAAAAATAAAATATTATATAAACTAATAAATTTTACTTCGAAACTCTAAAACTACACTTAATTTGTGACAAAAAATTAAGTCTAAAATGATAATTATTCTGAAATGTAGGGAGTATTGTTTTTCTGAGTTGCTCAAAAAAAAACTATTGTTTTTCGGTTTCCAAATTAACATATAAGTATCCTTTCATTTTTAATGAGAGTAACGGTTGAAATTTAAATCAGCAAATAATTTAAACAAGGGCCCCAACGAGAAAGTCAGATTTAATTTTTCTTATGTTAACTTCTTATAAAAGATTTTTTTCTAACCAACACATAATGAGTTCCAAGTTGGAACGTTTGAACTTTGAAATTTATTGGACCGTTGGTGGAATTTGAATATAGTTACTTAGTTCAAAATTCTGTTCATGAAAACTTTCTTTTGCCTCCTTTTTACTAGTTTTTAGTAAAGGAAAAACTTATGTAACCATTAAAAATGATTATTATAGGTTAAATAAAGTTGAACACAAAAAGAACAATCGGCCGTTTGGAACTTCAGAAATATATGTATTAGCAAAAGGTGCCTCCGCACCTAAATACGGGAAATTAAGGCCAAGACCCGAACTTTCCTAATAATATAGAGCCAGGGTTAGTGACCAATGCTTTGTTTCAGTTGTTCTAAATAACAATACTTTTGTTGCATTTGAGCTTCTAGTCTTATCACTGTATTATTTCTGTTTTCCTTTTTTGACTGTACTATTTTTTATTTAGTAAAAAAAGAAGTACCGTACGATTTTACTTTTATGAGTTTATTTAAGAATGCTAGTACTAGTAGGACTATGCTGTAAACTTTTGCTAGTCTATTGAAATCAGTGACGTTTGAATGAATGAAATGTGTGAAGGATATATACAATTTGTCAGTTTCAAAATGTGTGAAGGATATACAATTTCTCAGTTTCAGATTAAATCTAATGTGGAACTCATTGGGCCTGAAAGCAGGCTAGCAGCCTAAACATTTATATAACTTATAAATTATGAATCTAATTTCTTAAGAATAGAGAGATAAAGGAATGACTTCAACCACTTCTTGAGTAAAATATTTATTTTGGAAAAGAGTTCAATATAATCATAACGCGCATAAGTGATTTAACCAAAAATAACAGAAGAGAGAAGAGAGAGAGAAAGTAGATTTGATTGGGTCTGGTGTCTGGTCGGCTCGTGAGCAAGCATGCAATCGCCAAGTTGCTTTTCTTCCGATTAAAAAGTCATGTTCATGTTTCTCCGTCGTCTCCTCTCACCTGCCGTCTTGTCTGAGTTCTGATCCAGAGGTTTTGATGGCCAGAGTAAAGATGCAGTCGTGGGGAGGGATTCAGCGTGGGATTGTCGTTTCGTCAGTTTAATACAGTGAGTCCGAATAACCAAACCAAACCTGATCCGAAAAAGTAGCACCGAACCCGAACCAAAATTGATTAAATATCTGAATGCATTCAAAATTTTGGTATTTAAAGAACGAAAACTGAACCCGATCCGAACCAAAGTATTTCGGATACCCGAATGTATCCGAAATAGATTTATATACCTAAATATATTAATTATTTTTAGATATAATATATAGTAAAAACATCCAAAATATATAAGATACTTTTAAGTTTTCCAAAATACTTAAAAACAATATGCAAATAGTCAAAAGTAAATAACTAAAATAGCTAAAGTATATTCAAAACATCAAAAATACTTAAATATATATTGATTTTCTATCCAAATATTCAAAGAAAATCAATTTATATGTTAAGTCTAGGTATTTTGACATATGTTTTTCCAATTTATATGTAATCTATTATTCTGGTTATAGATTTTTTAAAAATTAAAGTATATAACGAATTTTAAAATTTTGAAAATAATTTAAATAGGTTATCCGAACCCGCAAAGATCCAAACCAAACCCGAACCGATATTTAGAAATACCTGAATAAGGTTAAAATCTTTAAATCCAAAAACCCGAAATCCGAATAAAGCCGAACTAAACCCGAATGGGTACCCGTACTCCCATCCCGAGCTTCACTGCGTCAACTCCACCGCCCTAGAAGTCCGAAGGGGAATTTTGGTTAGGCCTTGGCATTCGGGTAGTCGGGTTCGGGTCGGGTCCTTTCGGGTCCGGATCTTTCGGGTCTAGGAGTTTAGGACCCGATAGGGTAATTTCAAATTTTCGGTTCCGGATCGATTCGGGTGGTACCGAGTCCGGGTTCGGTTGGGTCTAAGATAGTTGGACCCATTCGGGTAATTAGAATTTATCCGTTCGGATTCGGCTCGACTCCGGGTCGGGTTCGACCTAAAAAATACCTTAATATATAAAAAATATCTGAAAATATTTATATATCCGAAAATATTCAAAATTTTTGTTTTTATTATATTAAAATGTGTATATATACTAAACTATGCGAGATACAACAACAATTTGTTGTCTCCTAGTGGTTGACCTCATTACTCTCTATAGTAACAACCCATCTTTGACTCCCTCTCAATGCATTTTATTTAATTTACATTATTAATTCGGGTTCCCATCGGGTTTCGGGTTCGGTCCGGGTTGGGTTCAAGACCTGCGGATCCTCTACAACAAGACCCGATAGGTAATTTGATCGGACCAATTCCTACTCAGACCAGGGTTTTACGGGTCGGTTTCAGATCGAATATTTGGGTCCGGGTAAAATGTCGAAGCCTAATTTTGGTCATAAATCAGCTTTGTCATCAGCAAGTGGTACTAAATCTTCTCGCCAGAACTGGGGAGAGCTTTTATAAAGTTAAATTCGGTGTGACGTGTTCCATTCATATTAAAACACGTGTCGCGATAATTTGTAATATCCATAACGAATTACTGTAATAAGCACAACAGGCTTAAACTTTTTAGCTTCTAAAAGTCCACTTAGCCGTTCATTTCGTATCCAACGGCTGTTATGAGCAAAAAGCCAAATTTAAAATAATTTAAAAACGGGTAAAAAGGTGAGTCTCGTAGTAAAGACGTGGTAAGCAAAGCAGTTTTCATTTCTTGTGTGTTGTTGTGTTTAAAGAAGAAGAAGATAGAAAGAAACAAAAGACAGTGTTCATCCGATCTTCTTCTGGCCTAATCCAGCTTTGTTGGCTGATTCTGGTGTCGAAGAATCTAAAGTCTTTTGAGTTTAAACTGCAGATTTTGAGGTTAGTGAGTCTTGTTTCTACTAATTACTTCAGCAGATTGGTCTTGTTTGTTTCAGTTAATTATTAGAAATCAGAAACTTGGACGATTTTAGATGAACGTTTCACTCTTTTGTTGTGTCTTTCTTAGTTTTGTTGTGATTGTCTTTTTTTTTTTTTTTTTTTT